AAAAATAAAATAATAAAAATAAAAAAAAAAACTTTCCTCTATGCTTGAGACCACCTATCTGCTTGACTTCAATTGGTAAACGTGAATGGCTTATCAGATAGTATATAGGCCTGAAGAGCACAGTCATGCTGGCGACTGCAGTCATTGGCTGAACAGACTCACCTACGCTTACCACGCAGGTAACCATCCTGGATTTTCACAAGACTTGTGGGTTTCATATTTTTCTTACTCTTTTCTGAGGAGAGATTTAAGGTTCTCTTAGTCCCAGCCAATATCCTTTCTAGTCATAACAGCAAAGTCAGGTTTTACTTAAAGAATAAAGGAAAGACATCAATGAAGGACAAATTGAATTTTATTTAAAGATGTGCTGAGTGCTTCTATTTTCTGTAGGCCCATCGCTGTAGAATCAGCAGTGGAGTATGGGGCGGCATCTTGCAATAAGGAGGGCAAGAACGAGTTGTTGGTGAGTTGCAATGATTTCAGAGGCGCAGGGTGGCAGGCAGCGGCTCTCCTCCCGGCAGGCCCGCGACTGCTTCCTCCTGCACACCCCTGGCTGTCCCGAGTCAGGGATCTGTCCACAGATCTGCCCATCAGTTGGAACTGGATACCTGCTCCCAACCTGATGGTGTCGGATGTCCACTCAGCCTGTGACTGTGTGACATGGACCTTTCCTGCCAACCTTGATCTCAGGGCTAAAAACAAACTTTCACCAGCCCAAGGAAACCATCATATGTAATTCACGGCCCTAAAGCAACAAAAATCATACATGTAAGCCAACAGTCTACAATACTGTTCCCTTTGGCTTATAATAAGACTAGAAAGCTTTTTTGTTCTGAATTAAAAAAAAAAAAAAAAAAAAGGCTGTGAGTCTAAGGAGCAACAGCCATGTAGTCTGAGCACAGTGACATCCAGACGTGTGGGATTTACAGTGTGCTTGTGCATTCAAGGATCACTGGGGGGGGTGTTGATGTAAAGCTTAACTGTCTGGTTTTACAATCACTTTCAATCAATAAATCATTACAGGCATTCAATTTTGTGGTGCAGAAATAAGTTCAAATAAATAGGCAAAAACAGACCTACCACAATGGTAGTTCTTAACATCCTAGTCCACTGCATCTTTGACAGCAATTTCAGATTAGAGAGGTCCCGAGGACAAAGTGCATCATGGGAGATGAGAAAATGATTCCTTCAAGTTTCACATACAGAGTTCTTCCTGTAGTCACCAGGTGTCTAGTTTCGCATATGGGAAAGTGACAGTTACTTCTTGCTCCTGTCCCCTTCATTCCAGTACTGTTCAGTCTGCATCTCTGTGAGTCGGGAGACGGTGCGCTGAAACGCAAAGACTTCCTCTTCTCCAGTAAACATGGAGAGTCCTTCTGCGGCGTCCTGGTCACAAAATCAAGTCCGCAAATACACAAACACAGACACACACAAACACACGCACACACACACACACAAATCCAGTGCCAATTTCAGCCACTCCGAGTGAAGTGGAGACATCTAAACTCATGCTTTAGAAAGACTTTAGGTTTATCCATTTAGGATTATAAATTTTTCTGCACATTTTCTATATACAGTCTCTTAAATTACACTAGATCAATCCACTGATTTAAACCTATAAACAATAAACATCAAATTACCAAGGATGAAACCTAAAAGAAAAACGTATGAAAAATAATTGAAGCGGACACAATGCCATAACAACAAACTATGAAAGATTTTGTTCAGAGTTAAAGTTTTCCGCAAAACCTAAAGGAATATTCCAGATAGAAAAGGAATTCTTTCTCCTCCAATGCACACACACCAGAAATAAGCAATGACAAAAACGGTGGCTCTGCTGGGATCCAAAGGGGCAGCCCTGGCTTCTAAGTTTCACAGCTGGGGCCCCCCTGCCTGAGAGTCCCTGAGGGTAAACTTCTGAAGAGCCTTTTCCAAACTGGGGAACTGAAAGGCCCCAGTGGGTCCACGGGAGGCTGGTAAATAGGCTAGGACTGGTGATACCAACATGGGCTCAAGGCCACTATGCAGACTTGGACTTTCCTTTCTTTCTGTAGGGTTTGTTATTATGCTTTTTTAGAGAAAAAAAAAAAATCTAGACTCTAAGTCCACCTTCCCCACTGATGCTCTATGATCTTCATGACCTGCAGGTTACATACATTTCCCTGATTTCTTCTTGGATGACTGGCCCTAAGAGCTGAGCTTATTTTGGCCTGTGTCTAAACCCTGATCCCAGGGGAATATTTTTAAGGATCTATGCTAGTGATGGTAAACCTTTTAGAGCTTCTGATGATAAGAAACAGCCAGCTGTGGCCTGTGTGCCATCGGCTCATCTCCCCTGGCCTGAGTTAAGAAAACAAATGATTGAATGTAGGACCTCCAGTGTATTCTTTTGAATTGTCAAAGACAATATTTGGATGTAAGTATTGCTCTTGGAGAACTTATATTTGAAATGGCCCCTGTCCTAGAATTTATAAGCAGCTATTTCTATACTGTGAAGGTCTGACAGTACCAAAATTTGTGTGCTGAGACCCTGACCCCCCAGGTGATGGAATTAGGGGCAAAGTCTTCCAAATTTATTAGGTTTGAGAGTGGATCCCTCAAGAGTAGGATTATCCCCCTGAGACCCTTCTGCTGTGTGTGGCCTATATTTTAAAAAAAGATGACAGCATGAAACCAAAAGTGGGTATTCACCAGGAACCAGAGCCGGCACCTTGGTCTTGAACTGCTGAGGAGTCAGTTTCTCCTGGTCATAGCCCCCCCACTTTATGGTGCTGTTAGAGCAGCCTGAACAGACTAAGATATGTAGGTTTAAGTGACCATAGTTTAGGGCCGGTCACATAGCTCAGAGGATTAAAGCACCTGCAAGCAGGCTCAGGGATCAAGGGTTTGATCCCTCGGCCGTGCTGGCCCCGCCCCAAGGGCGTGCAGAGCCAGCAGTTGAGACTGGGTGTGGTGGCATGTGCCTGTAATCCCAGCACTTGGGAGGCTGTAAACAGGCAGATCACTACAAGTCTGATCTAGTAGTGAGACCCTGAACACACTGTTCATTCATAAAGAATGACTGGCCTCATTCTCCCCCACTCCTGAGCTTGTGTAACTTCTACTCAGACTAGTATGAAGCAGGTCTTCCTCAAGTGAGCTTTCAGCTCTCATCTGAGGGGGTATGTGTTGATGGCTTTGCAGTTTGACTAGTATGGCCTGAGGTGAATCGAGCTCCAAGCTCTGGGAGAGCTGGGCCAACATTAGTTTGTTCTCTAGGGTGTCTCCAGAGCCTGGCATGAGCAGTGCTCCATGAAGGATGAAATCAAAGAACACATTCCAGCTTAAGCCTGAGATGCCCCGGTCCTGGGCTGCTCGGCTCACATGCTTGGGTACTGTGTCATGCATTGCAGTCCAGGCATCGTGAAGAAGGTATCAGAAAAGGCTGCAGAGAGAGCCTGGAGCCACACCGCCCTGGTGCCCATCCGCTGCCCACTATTATCCAGCAGTGTGACTGTGGGCCTTTATCCTCCTCTTCAGAGTTTTGCCCTAAGATCACTACTATCTTCTACTCTAAGGTTGCAGCTGTCTAAATTTAGTGATATTGTGAATAGTAGGTTTGTTTCATAGCTTTAGAAGACAGCAGCAAATCAACAGTTAACTGTGTACTGTGTTCGTTCTTCAAAATGTAGCCATGTATCAAACCAAAAACAATTAAGCTGTTTTATAATAAAAAGAGATTATGTTAATATTGCCTACCTGGCTCAGCCCCAAATCATCCATCAGTATTCTGCTTTGCTCCAATTCACTGTCATGATGTTGATGCAAAAATAAGCTTGATAGAGGAGTCGAGGCAGAGCAAATTATACGCACCTGAAACAGGGAAAACGCGTGAGTGTGGTGCTACTCTTCACATTTCACAAGTTGAGAATAAGAAAAATCCCTCATACACAAAAAGGAATCTGTCACATCAGGGAGTTTGAATCCTTGCTTTCACAATTATTTTTTCTAACTGTTGACAGTGGATATATTTTATGACTGTCTAGTCCTTTTCAAATATTTCCACACAGCTTAATACCACACCATGAAGTAGGGAGCAAAAGTTTTGCTGAGAAACTTGTGGTTCACAGAGGTCTCGGCTCACGACATCAGCCCCAGTTTGCCCATTCGAAGTCCAGTGCTCCTTCCATCACTGCTGTGGGTTGCACATCTGTGTCCCCTGCAAAGTCCGTGCTGGAACTTGGGCCTACTGCAGCAGTTTTAGGAAGGAGCACTGGACTGAGCCATGACAAGGTGACAGAATCATGAGGGCTCTGAGGGGACCTGCTCAGGCCTTGCTCCTGGGCTCTCTGGCATCCAGACATGGATGAGACACATTGCTACTACTTGCAAATCACTTAGCCCGTGTCACTTTAGTAGTAGCACCCACAGGCTACGGCAACTATGCTCCGCTGGTGACACCTGCGCCTGGCTGGCTGGAGCGGGTCTCTGTGTACATCAAAGCTGCTCCCCAGGTGCACTGTAAAGGGGTGGTTCCGACAGTGCTGCACAGCTGCCGGCTAAGGCCGGTACACAAGTTCTCTGCCTGAGCCTGGAACCAGCAGCCTGTCAGGACAGCTTCAAGAAGACCAACTTTCGCATAATCATTTGAGTGAGTGGCATTATATACATTGATTATAGTGGCATACATTGGAAACTGCTTTTATGTCTTGTGTACATTATATGTCTGCAAGTTTAAATATAAAACATACTCTTCTTGATGCTTAAAACATCCTGGATTTGTCTTCAGGATCCACAGTTATCCTTTTAAAATCATTCTTTAATAAACACATCAATACTTCACAATAACACTTTGGCATTTGGAACTAACTTTTTCCATACCCAAAAGGTCTTCTGCCTCCTCTTCTAAATTCTTGCAATCAGAAATGACACTTGCTTACATAACTTAGAGGGAAATGCCATCACCTCACAAATTTCTGTGACTACATTCTATAGTAATGTCTGGCAAATGCTTTCAATTTTTGAAATAAGGTATTTGGACTACATTCCGAAAACAGCATGATCTCCAAGTGTGTGGTTTAGTTACAGCAAGCATTAGGAGAGCAGCTTCGGAGTTCTGTCATACTGCAGATGAACCTTCCTGCTTTAGATAAGAGGTAGAAAAGTGAGAGTGAGGGAGGATTAGAGGGTGGGACTGAGCACGGGGCCATAGGTTCTAGGGGCTATCCAGGGTTTCTCAAGGTGTACAAATGAGCCTGTCAGTTGTCCACTCTAAGGACCAACCACTGGCTCCCTTTGTTTCTTAAGGCCTTTGTCTTCTAAATACAGTGCCACCTCCTGGTTACACTCTTCATCCTGGGGTGATTAGTGGGAGCAGTCTCAGCAGCAAGCAGCCTCCAAGGGAAGGATCTTGGCCTCTGTGCCTCCTGACTACCCAATCACGTGTGTGCAGCCCCTGGAGACAAGAAGCAGATTCTGTGGCTGCTCCTGGGCCACTGGTGGCTCCAGAGGCTACACTTGCTGTCATCCAGCTCGGTCCATCCTTTCTGGACTTTGCTGTAGCCTCCCCACTCTGCCTACCCCTTTCACCTGTGCCAAGGTCTCCCCTCACCCTTCCAAGCATTTATAAAGAACACCTTGAGCATGCAGGCTCCGGGCCATATGCCTGGCCTTGCTGTACTTCAGTGAGGGTAAGGTGGCCTCTGGAATCCAGATTTGAGTTGTCCCCATAGTTCTGACACAAGTGGTCCTCAGAGGACATCACGGTGCCCAACCCTACATTCCTGCTCCCTCCCCAGATTCTCCAGCACCACATTCCTCTCTGTCCAAGGAGTCACCTAGCAGTAGTGACCTGACTTGCCTATAGGACAGGGGATTCGTGTGTGTCTGGCACTGGCTACAAGCTCCATGAAGACAGGCACTGTGTCCAATTTCCCTTCCACTGAGTTTCTCTCACTTGGAACTGAGCTTGGCACAATGAAAGGTTGTTGAATGAATGAGTAACTGAAACATTAAAATTTCAACCACCCCTTGCCAGCAGTCTGTTATGTACCTCTTCCTCACTAAAGGCCCTTCAATTTTCGACTTTCTGCTCTAATTCTGTATAAGAAATGGGAAGGAAAACAATATATCTAATGTAAAACAATGTTTAGCTCTTATTCAGAATTGCACAACATCTTTGCTGTCAGCATATATTTATATACTGTTAATACTGGCTCCCCTTCACCGAGAGCTCACTTCATGTCCAGCTCACTTCACAAGGATTTGCATTCTTCTGTCATCCTCGCGACAATCATATGCAGTAAGTACCATTACTGTCTCCTCCTACAGGAGGCAGCTGAAGCTCATTAATCCAGTCGAACCCAGCCTCTGGGACAGACAGCCCACAGGCCCAGCCTTAGTCACTGGGTTACACTGGCCTTCTTGAACAGTGACGTGGCAACCAGTGCTAAAACATACAGCAAGACAAATGCAAACCATAAGGCAGTATGACACTAGCTTTATGCTGCACAACGTCCTCTGGTTATTCGTTTGCTCACTTATCTGTCAGCTCAGCCATTTCTTCAGGCAACACGCATCTATTGAGTGTGGAGTCTGGGCCGGGCCACACAAGGCGCACGTGCTCCTCCCTCGCATGTCAGAGTCAGCACAGCAGACGGGCTTGCTGTGGCGGGAGTCTGACTACACTCCTGAATGCTGCTCCTGCTAAACGTTGGGGTAAATGTGGTTTTAAACACTTGACATGGAATAGCCTTGGCAGTGTACAAAATCCCTCTGAAGTAAATGCTAGCATTCCCCAGTTTGCAGGTGAAGAATCTAAGGCACAGAGAGGTGAAATAGGTAGTAGAGACAGGACCGCAGGCCGGACCATCTATACAATTTTGAAAAAAATGCATTACCTCCTTACCTTGAAATCATAAAAATTATCAATGAGAGTTATGAATCTTCGAGCTTGGGTCCTCTTTGCCAACGTAAACTGTGGAATGTTCCGTAAAAATATCGTATCAAAATTCCTTGACAGTTCCAAGTAGTCACTGGCTCCAAGTGGCTATAGTTAAAATAAAATTGAAAAGAAAATGAAAATAAACAAGTGCCAATCACCTTTGGGTTGATGTTTTCGCAAACCTTTTCACAGTGTGATCTAGATGGTGGCTTCTGATCAACATGACCAAGGAGGGGAGTGTTTTCAACACAGAACATTGCTGTGTGTGGCTATCACCGTGATTGGTTCTATTTCTAGAAGTAGTGGTCAAGAAAGAAGACAAGTGTGTGGTAGGAGTGAAAGAGGATCACTGACCATGGATGGCCTCAGCTGGTATCCTAGGGAGCCTCACCCTAAATTGAGTGTTTTGCCTTTTTTTATTTAATGTATTTAGTACAGGGTCTACAGGGTCTCACTATACATATCAGACTGGTAGTGATCCTCTTGTTTTCAGCCTCCCAAGTGCTAGGATTACAGGCACGTGCCACCATGTCCAGTCTGAGTCTTTGGTCTTTATTTGCATGACATACTTTAAAGTTAAACATGTCCTAATAAATCCTTCCTATGACTTAACTACTACCTGCCGCTATTGTTGAAGGGAGTTCATTTATAATGCCCTGTGGAATATTATGTCACAATTTTGAAGATCATACTTCATTGTAAAGCTCATCAGTAACTGTTTTCAGTCTGAGTACAATTACTCAAGTATGATGCAGTAAACACTGCTATTCTCTGTGAGACCTTGAAAATAATGCAGAGCAGAATGCTGCCTCTTGATAGGAGGGTAGAGGACTCAAAGCCCACAAAATTATTCAGAGTGGACAATGCTTGTTCCTGAAAGATAAGCTGAACTCATGAATATCATAAATACTATCTGCAAATACATTCCTTGTGGTATGGAACATCCCCAGGAGTGTTACCTCTGCTCATTTTAAGTTGTATATGGATGGTTGCAGTCAGTCAGAAGCAAACCATGAGCAAAAGCCAGGACAGTGTTTCCAGCCTTCATAGAGCCAGGGGATGACTAGAGACCAAGGCTCAGAAGCCACTCTGAGGCCCTTCTGGAAGCTCCTAGGTCACCATGACCAAGTTCTCAGATACAAGTGGCTGAACTGCTTCAATTTCTGGCAGAATCTGCCAATACTCCTCCCTGTCTAGAAATGTCTTTCTCACTTGGAAGTCTTTGCCTAAAAACTTCTTTCAGAAATGATGATGAGGGAGAGAATCTGAAAGCTGCGAAGAGGAGAACAGTCACTCTCACCTCAGCATCCAGTCACATGGGCCTACCATTATCTTCACAACCTGCTGGAACAGGACATACTCAGGACCAAGGGAGTCCCATGAGGTGGGGAAAGGTATGAGCACACCCTGAGGGTTCAGTCCTGGAGAAGGGGTTCCCTCAGGACAGAGTGATTCTAAGACAAATGTAGACTTTACTTGTGAAAGGGCCTCAAAGCAGACTGGAAGGGCACAGAGGAGGACCAGGCTCCCATGGAAATGTGCTTAAGGTGTCTCTTCCTCCTTTCTCCTCTCCCCAGCAAGACAATAAAGGGCAGCTGGAAGATTTTGGCCTTTTCATTTTCCTTCCCTGGCTGGAGAGCCTCTAGCCCCGGTGTCTGACCTCGACTGAGACAAGCCACGCAGCCCAGCCATGGAGGAAGGGTGAATGTTTGAGGGTACTGTGGGTTTGGGGGGACATTTTTGTTTTAACCCTGACATTCTTCCCAGGATACCTTTTGGCCAATCCTGAAGGACCAGGAGCTCATGTGTGCATAGAGAAGCCTGGTTCTTAATCCCCCATCTGTCACTGGTTATCTGGGTACTTTGGGCAAATACATAATCTCTCTGTTCCTTATCTTGCCCACCTAAAAGATGAGAAGTTGATTTCCATCTCATAGAAGTGTATGCATTAAATAAAATAATGCAAGCATAGAATTTAGCACAGAAATGGCGATGTGGCATCCAAGTCTCTTTGGCTACTTTTCTTATTTTGAGCTCAAGTGATTGGACTCAGTACAAAATGAGTCGAGAGTACAGAGAAATGTTGTCAGAGGGAATCAGTTAATTCTGCTCCACCACGCAATGGATCTGAAACCCTCAATAAATCTGACCTACATGTCACAGCAGGGACCAGAGGAGTCCACGGAATCCCCTTGTAATGGGAACAATTCCCAAAGGCAGAGAGAAAGGCAAAATGGTATCTTCTTTGTTTTTTTGTTTTGTTTTGTTTTTTATAAAAGGATAATACATACAAGACACTCGTGTTCTGAACCTGTGCTATTTTTTCAGAGTGTCTTGTCTTTGGTAAGACAGAAAATATATGTGAACAATGTAAAACCTCATAGTAGGTATTTAGTTCTGTGTAATTAAGCTTGCTCTTTATGCATGAACGTGATTTCTATATAACTAAGCCCAAGGAACATCATTATCAGGAGTGCACTGAAGTGTCTAGGGCAAGTGAAAATCAGAATTTTGCCTACTCAGCTCTTTCACAAATTATCCACCTTTGTCAGTAGCTTCTGCGTGTGCCGTTCTATCAGCAAACAGTCTTCCTCTCCGGATCACTAAATCAGTTACATGCTTGTTCACATAAAGAAACCAAGGCTTGGCAGTTATCTGTCTCCTTTAAAGCTAGAGTCAGCTCACCCCATGTCTGCTGCTCCTCAGGTTTCAACAGACCTCGCCAAGACATCCTCCCAAATGGAACCCGCCATGGAAACCATGACGTTTATGGTCCACAAATGTGCTGGGGACAAATGCTACTTAACAAAGGAGGACCTGAGAGTACTTAGGGAAAAAGAGTTCCCTAGATTTTTGGAAAATCAACAAGATCCTCTGACCGTGGACAGAATCATGAAGGACGTGGACCAGTGCTGAGATGGCGCAGTGGGCTTCCAGAGCTTCTTTTCACTAATTGCAGGCCTCACCACTGCATGCAATGATTTCTTTGTAGTACACATGAAGCAGAAGGGAAACAAGTAGGCGGACGTGGACATTTACTCCTGCCCTGATGAGAGTGCTCCCAAAGGAAACTTAAGGAATCTGCCCCTCGGCTACCCCTTGTATAAAGATGTCATGAGCAGATCAGGACCCTTAGAAAATGTACAAATAACATCCAGCTCTCACTGGACAGAGAGTGGAAGGCTCATTAAATGCTACATAAGCTTTTTTTTTTTTTGTATTTGCATCCTCTTGCCCCAATAAAGTCTTTTTTTAGTTCCAAAAACAAACAAAAAAGCAATAGTCATTGGGAAGATGTGGAGTTATTATTTAATGTATGGGGTTTGGTACGATGAAACAGTCCTGGAGATGGGGAGTACCATTCACACAGCCACGTGAATGCACTTAAAATGCCACTGAACCAGTTAAAATGGTTAACGTTTATATTTTATATTACTTTACCATATTAAAAAGCAATCTTTTTAATAAGGAAGGATTATTGATTGTCAAGGAAGACCACAGAGAGATAACATATTTGAAAATATAACAAAAATGAAGGTAGCTCTAAGGGGATTAGTTTAAAATTAGATTTTTTGGTAAAATTGTCTTACACTGACTCTGATGCTAATGTATCCCAAAAGTAAAACTCAAAAATTTTCAGAATTGAATTTGATGAGATGAAGATTCTTTTTCATCAGAAATGCTATTTTTCATTAATTATATTATAGAATCATGGGCAAAAATACAGTAGACTTTGAAATGGCCACCTCTGTCATTTTCAGTCATGTGACCCTGTGTCAGTCTCTGAGTTTTAGTCTCCTGACCTGTAAAGGAGAACACAATGGGACTCACAGGTTTATCTGAAGGACTCCCTATCTTTACTGCTTGTAAGTGGCTGTCACATAGTTAAGAGTTCAGTAGGTGTGAGGTACAAAATTCATGCTAGAAGTTAATAAAATGATACATGCAAGGTATGCTACTTGGAATAGAACACACACACAAAAGGAGCTATTATTTTATTAACTATTAATAAACTTTGCCCCAGATCAAGAGGCCAGAGAGTGAACAGCTAAACTTGCTCCAGTCTGCCGCTGTCCCTCTACCCTAAAGGGAAAAGCTGGTCCCTCCTACTGCCTCTGATCTGTCCTGTACATCACAGCTTCTCCATGAAGTCATTGGTAGGGGACAAAAACTGCTTTTGGCTCAGGCATGGTCTTGCTGTCTTTAGTAATATCATCACCACTCAGGTCCACGTAATGGCGGCTCCTAGCTCAGTACATGGCACACAGGAAATGTGTACTATTTATTGAACAAATTAATGAATAAATGTATGAATGAAACAAATGGGGAGCAGGCTTGTACTTGCACTTTTTAATACTTATTTGTTGAAGGAAAGAAGGGAGATAGGGAGAGAGAGAGAAAGAGAGATAGACACAGATAAAAAAAAGTCACAAGCATTCTGGGCTTGAATTCCCTATTCCCAAGGCAAGCCTTCATGTATATCCTAGTATATACATAAGGAAAAAAATCTAGAAAGATACAGATCCAAAATGTGAATCATCGTTCTCTCTGGGGGGTAGAATAAAATATGAATTTTTTTTTCTTTGCTATGTTTTGATACCCCTCTGAGTAAATCTGTGTTACTTTTAAAGACTGAAGCACTTTTTTTAAGTGGAGGTCACTTTTATGATTATGGGCATTCGTGTCTCTCTCTCAGCCTCCTCTCATTTGCTACAGATCAAGCTCCCTATTTCCTATTCTCTATCTTTTACTTTGCTTTTTATTTATATTTTCAGTTTTGCAATATTTAAGCTTATGTAGCTGATTTATTGCACTTAACATTATGGCTTCAAGGTGAATCCATTTTCCTACAAATGACTCAAGTTCATCTTTTATGGCAGAGCATATTCCACTGTATAAATACCACATTTTCTTTATTCATCTGTTGATAGGCATAGAAGCCACTTCTAAGATTTAGCTATTATAAGTTGTGCTGCTATAGACATGGGTATGCCTGTATCAGTGTGATCTGATGTCTCTAACTCTTTTGGTAAGATACCTAGAAAGGGAATAGCTGGGTCGAATGGAATTTCCATTTTTAGTTTTGAGGAAGTGCTGTCATTCTT